GGCAACTTAATTAGAATGGCTAGGAAAATTATTATTAGTTAAATAATTTAATTAAAGCGAGAAATTATATTGGTCGTTAAGATTTTATATCAGGTGAAATTAATTTGGTTTCATCACTTCGCAGTTGGAATAAGTTGCCTATTAATTTGCAAGCCTGATTTTATTTTTTTAAATATTTTTACCCGGTTATTTACTCATCTCATAACTCCAAAAATTATAATGTGCAATTAGTAATTAGTATCATTCCGGTTTATTTTCTCATCGCAAAACTCTAAAGTCATAATTTGCAATAAGAAATTAGTAACATTTTGTTTTGTAATTAAGTTCATATATGCTTTTTCTGTGTGGAATACTCTTGCAAAGTGAAAATTGTTAAATATAATTATTTCCTTTTTCCCTCCCGGAAGGGTATCTTATTCTTTCTTACAATGAAACTTATTATGCTTACCTGTATGAATTCAATATAATGTTTGATATTGCAGAAGTTTTGAAGGGAAATTGTGAGTTTATTCTGTTAAAGTATACCTTTTATTTTATTCAATTATTTGTCCCTAACTGATAGAATTTTCTAAAAATATAAATTGCTTAAGAGTAAAAATAAATAAGTTGTTTCTAGATCAATCCATGGTTAAATTTATTTTGTGTGCTCATGATTTTTACCAGTCTTTTACTCAAATTGATTTTAAGGGTTAATCCGGATTAAACACAACGCAAATGTATATTGTATTGATACTGGTTTACTGTTGAAATGAGTATTTTGAGTGTTAGGTTCAATTAGTAGGGTACTCTTTTGGAAAATTTAAGGTAAAAGTTCAAAATATAGAACAAAAGCAAGAAATCTACTGAAATGCAGATTAAAATTAATTGGAATTCATTGGCCGCCGAAATGTTATGATTTTGTGTCTTCAGCTTCGGCCTACCGAGCTTTCAACGATTTTATTGACTTTTATTTTAAACATTGTAAATGATTTCTTTATACATTTTATACTTTTGTATTTACATTTTTTTTTTCTTTTCTTTGTGTATGATTTCATTGTATTATTGAAAACTCATGTTATTACTTACAATTTTGCCTTTTTTACTTACGATTTGTAAGTCTCGTGTGATACTTTAGGGTGCACGAGGATTTATTTTTCTTTAAATAAATAAAAAAAAATACTGGGGATTTAACATACCGGTAATTCTCTAATATATACCGGTAGGTTAAACACCCATAAAATAAGCCACCCAATCTTTCTTATGGACCTGAGCCATTTCAGCTTTTTTCTCAAAATTAATCAAATATAGTCCCATTTCATCCTTTTTACTTCCTTGTACGAAGTAAAAAAGGAAGTATTGTAATCGCGAAAAGTGTTTCAGGCAGCATATTTCAAAGAAAATATCCATTTTGACCGCTATCGAATGCAATTTAACGATGTTTTTGCGTGATGTCTGTACGTAAGGATAGATAAATTACTCTTTTCCTTCAAAAAAAATTACAAAACTGCTTTAAAATGAATTCCGAAGAGAATTTTTCGTGGCCTCTGTACGTATGTACGTACGTACGTATCTCACATAACTCAAAAACGAGTATCCTCAGAACGTTGAAATTTTGTATATAGGACTGCTCTAACATGTAGATGTGCACCTCGTATTTTGGTTGCAATCGGCCGCGCCAAACGTATATTTAAATATATATATATATATATATATCTCCACTCTGTTACCCGGCTCAATGACCTCAGTTTCTTTACTCTTATGTGTTTGTAAATTGTACATTTTTGCTTTAAAAATGATTTAATTATGTTGCTTTTATCTTCCGGTTAAGGTTTTTATGCCTTTAGTAAATCTGTATGCAATATTTTTAGAATTATCAACAATTTTAAAGTTGTTTAGGTGGCCCAAAGCCTAATAATTTTTTTGATGGCGGCCATTGCTTGTTTATATTTGAAACAGCAGGATAGTGGATTTGTTGCCAATCTAGAGAAACTTAGTTTCGCAACAACAAAGATAACGCCTTCATTTACTATTGCGAATTAAATCATGCTTAATCCTTTCTGGAATTTTTTTCGAGAAATAAGTGTTTAAGATTTACTTCGTAAATTTTAATACAGATATTTTGAGGTTTTATGTATTTTTGCCTTGTCACGAAGTAAGAACTGAAATCATTGAATGAGAAATAATGAGTCGTCTGTGAAAACTGTTTCTTTTTTGTTTTGTTTTCTTAATTTCTTTTATACATCGTTCTGGCTTTATTATAGTATTTGAATAGAACATGTGGCAGCGATTAGATAATTCTTTAAATGATATCAATTTTGTGCATTCTGAGTTATAATATGAACGAAATATAATACTGTTAACTGAAGCTAGCGCCAGAGTGTCGCTATGGTAAACAAATAGAGTGAATTTTAAAGAATACATTTATTCTATTATGGTTTATGCGTTGTCGGCGAAGTAGATTTAATTCAATCCAATACGGTTAAATGAAATGCAAGAAAAATGCGTATAATTTAATATTCCGTACAAGGAAGTCATGTGGTGTACACATCAGATTTTTTCATCAAACTTGTAATTTAGTAATAAATAATTTTTTCATCAAACTTGTAATTAGGAGGAATTTGTGCCAACTGCATTTTATTGCTTGATTCTACTATATTCGCTATTGATCCCCTAGCTCGGACTTTCTTGATTTTTTCAATTCAAGTCGCTTTATTTATAATTTATGTGTCTAAGCTAGGCGTTCTTCCCGATCAGCAGTTACTCTGTTCATAATTAATGTAACTTCTTCGTGATCCTAAAATTGTCTCCTAGCTATTAATTTTGTAGTTTCTGGGACCTAAATAGTGAGCAGCACTTTCTCACCCGATTTGTCGGCTACTTCTTTTAAATCTTATTTTCTACCCTTGGCAAGAAAAGACATTTTTGAAAGAGAAAGCTCTTGGACAGCGTATCAAAATTAAGTTTAAAGGCCTTTAGCCAATATTCAAAAATTCAAATCATTTTGCTCAATCTAGCTTTTTTAAAAATTTAGAAATTCAAATAAGACACAACGTATAAAAAATACTCAATACAATAAAATTATATGTTCTCTGTTCAACAAAAATCTAGCAAGCTCGCTCTTAATAAAATATACTAAAGTAAATAAAAGATTAAAGCCTCTAACTTGATTCATACAAAATTCTTGATTTTGGACTCTAATACAAGAAGTCAAATTTCAGAAGGAAATTTTCTAATATTACTTAATAAATGCGACACTTTAATACAAAAGCTCCAATTTATTCACATAAAACATTTTTGTAATTTTGAATTCTAATGCAACAGCTTAAGTTTTAAAATAGAAATATTAGCATAATAAATTTTCCGACTATAACACAAGAACTCAAATTTTAAAGAACATCCTAATCAAAATAACAAATTTGACACTTTAATAAAATAGCTCAAAATATCGTTAAGAATAGTTGAATTCAATAACAATATGAAACATTTTCATATAAATTAGCACTGTATTCATAAAAAGCTTGATACTCACCCGTCCTATATACCTTTCGTTTTTAAATAAACACTGGTGTCACTTTTCGATTCCAGCGACTACTACCAGATATATTTTTATATATCTGTAATGAAGTTTCAAAGAAATTTCACCTTTTTAAACAACAAAATTTTTTATTCAAACTTACCGGTATTATGTTAGTAGCATAGCAACACAAAGATGTCAGTGTCAACTGTAAATAAGACTCAGTGTCAACTGACTCAAGTGTCAACAACTCAGTGTTAAAATACTCGTTGTCAACTGTAAGCAAAGTAATTAATGCTGATTTGAATCTTAAACAAGCGAAAAAACATAATGCGCATCGCCATAATGTGCATCGACATATCGCCTAAAGCAGAACCTATTGCAGGATTCTTTATGAAAAACATTTATCCGGATAAAAATAGAAAAATGTTGTCAAAATAAACTAATCTTGGGTGTATTTAAATGACTTCAATAAAAAAAGATCCATTTATTATCCTCAAAGAGGAGGGAACAAACCTTAAAACATGGTTCAAGGAATCTAAAGAAAGCTTTTCGAAGGGATTTATGATTGTTGCTGGTTTTTCCACAATATCATCAATCAGTAGAACTGCACCAAGACAAGGCAAGCAACAGGCAAAAATATCTGCCTTCTTGACCGCTAGCCGAATCTACTGTTAAAATCCTAAATAAAAATGGAAAAGAAATGGGTATCAAGGCCATATCCTTCACTCATATCCCTACTAAATCTCATGTTCTGTCACTAATGTATTTTTGCGCTTTTAGACTTAAAAAGCGGGTTGACCAAACGTCGACTTACAAACTCCTTAGACTTTGGGAAGCTGTTTGAGAGCGATGGGATAAAATGCCTCTACCGATACTACAAAAGACATTATTATCTTGGAAATTACGATGTATAAAAATAGTGAAGAATAAGAGTTACCAAATACAATATTTAAAACACAAAAGTGTTAGGTAAAGTATTTCTGTAATTAAAATGAAAATCATCTAAAAATGTGTGAATAGCCTCTGTATAGAGCCAGATAGCGGAATGCACAATATTTTTAGTTTCAAGCGTTATTGCGTGACATGTCTCAGGTATATTCAAAGTTTTAAAACCTTTTGAAGTTACTAAAGCAACATCGCGTGTATTCGGTAAAATGACGAATGAAAACATGACCACGCTAACAGGCACATTATTTAAAAAAAGGCTTCATTTAAAGAATTGTTTGTACAGTATTTCAAGGAAAACGAACAATCCATATTGATGCGCTATATTTTTCATTCATTTGATTTTCCTATATAAATGTATTTCATACACCAGATAAATGGGAAGTTACGACAGCTCAATATATTTGAATAGCGTACTCCATTATAAAAGATCATATTCGTGTTATATCTTTGTTGACACGAATATATTCGTGTTATATCATATTCGTGCCATATCTTTGTTTAAATTAAAATTGTCCTGCTTTCATATATACTTGAATTTGAAATCTTTGCATGGGAGTTGTAACCAGTAAACAGAAGTAATGAAAATTGCAATAGTTAATAAGCTGATCTTCTCAGCTTCGATTTTTCTTTATTTTTTGTGTAGATTGACGGTTTCAGGATTGGAAGATGGAGTCGGTAATATGTCAGAAGAAGAAGTCGGCAGTTGCTGGTACGCTATTACATGTAAATTAGGTACATATACATATTTTTATCTTATAGATATAAACAATCATTTTCGATTAGAAATAATATTCCTAAACTCCAGTAAATATTAACTAAACTTCGTTTATTCGAAAAGGGAAAAAAATAATTTTCTTAATGTTTCTGACAAGCAATCATTCCAATAAAAAATAAGTTTTTGTCAATGTTCCATCATTTAGAGGAGTCGTTTATTACTTCCTTCTACGATATAAAGGAAGTATTGTAATCTAAAAAAATTTCGGGTATCATATTTCAACGAAAATATTCATTTTGATGCTATCGAATGCAATTTAACGATGTTTGTGCGGGACTTCTGTACATAAGGACACAATAAAGAAATCTCTTTCCCAAAACGGGTTGCGAAAAGGTTTTAAAATGTATTCAGAACAGATTTTTTGTGTGATATCTATACGTACGTGAGTAAGTATGCATGTACGTATCTCGCATAACTCAAAAACGAGTAGCGTCAGAACGTAGAAATTTTGTATATAGAACTGATATAACATGTTGTTGTGCACCTCCCATTTTGGTTGCAATCGGCAGCACCAAAAATATATAAATATATATGTACCCACTCTGTTACTCGGCTCCGTATCCTCAGGTTTTTTTTTTTTTTTTTTAATTAGTATTCTTATATGTTGGTAAAGTGTGTAATTTTTTTGCTTTAGAAATGATTGAATTATGCTATTTTTATCATCCGGTTAAGGTTTTTATGCCTTTTGCTAATCTGCATGCAATAGTTGTAGAATTATCAATAAATTAAAAGTTTTTTAAGTGCTGTTAGAACTAATTTTTTTACCACAGCATCCCCCCCCTTTTTTTTTTTTTTTTTTTTTTTTTTTTTTGTACATATGAGATTTAGCAGAACAATGAATTCAGTTTTTTTACCTTCAGTGTCTTTTTGCCGAGTGGGACCAACACTAAACTTTCAGTATTGTGCACCGAAAAAATCTGCCATCTTGTCCGCTGCCCGAATTACTTACTTTTGCGTAGAAACTCTGATTTTAATAGTAAAAATTGTTTTAACTATATTTGGTGTTTCAAATTTTTCTATATTTTTCAATTTGTAATGCAGATATTTTTAGGTTTTATGTATTTTTGCCTTGTCGGAAAGTAAAAACTGAATTAATTGAATAAGAAATATTTATCTGATGAAATTTGAGGAAATAAGTTTAAATGAAATGCATGGAAAAAATTTGTATAATTAATTTAATATTCCGTGCAAGAGTGGCATGTGGTGTACACATCAGACTTTTTGTTATATGTTATACAGCAGAAAAAGTGATGTCAATGCATTGTAACTAGAAACATTTTTAAATAAATTTATGTACTAAAAAGAGCATTCAAATACTTAACTATTAGTGTCGGATATTACGTTAATACAAGTTATTCTTTGGTACGAAATAAACTGCTAAAAGTCAAAATATCAAAGTTTGCAAAGAAAATGATTTCTAGCTTTTAAATTCCAACGGTTATGCGGCTACTGCTTTTAACTGTTCCTCAGTATTATTGTAACTCATTCCTCTCCCTAGGTTTTAGATATTACTACTTAATTTACAATCTAGAATTACCATGGATATACCTTGATCTGCCTTTTCAATGAATGTTAGACGTTTAAATCTATGATTTTTATATTTTTACCCAGCTCTTTGTATAAAATATGACACAAGAGAATATTATTCTATTAATCATTTAACAATTATTGCTTACTTCATAATTTTGTTGAATTTATCATTGCATAAAATAATTTTTAAGCATAACGTTATATCATTTTTTGCCATTTATTTCTTTGTGATTATTTGATACATATCGGCATCAATGTTGTTTTAAGCCAAAATTGCACCAGCTGTAAAACGTAACATAATTTTAAAAAAATTTAGCAGAATGTCTTGAGCGGCTGACTGAAGAATTGCCTGTCAGTTACTCTCCTCGATTCGTAAACTGTTTATATGTTGTTACAATTCAAAATGCGAATTTCATTAGAGATCATTTCTTAAATCTAAAATCATTTAAAAAATATACACTGTTTGTACAAAAGTCCTTACTCGTCTGATGCTTACTTAACACAGTTTCACGCGGCTGGTAACCAAAAATAAACACGAGAGAATGGACTGTAATGTTCACTTTTATTTATTACATTAATTCTAGTTATGCGAAATTTATTGCAACACATCGAGCCATAACATGGCTGTCACATGAACGAAGTTCTATCTTTTACTCCACTTGCTGCCACATGCAATAAAAAATAAAGAGAATCTTACATTCCAAACGATAAATCATATATTAATTACTTTAAACATCCGGTCGGAGCGGACTGCTGATTCAGCCATCAGTACAAAAACCAAACGATCTTATTTTCATGAGGTCGCTATACTCACATGAACGCCGTCCTTTATTTTCGTAACCATTGATCGTAAACATATACTTCCAATAACAAAAATGTTTTATAAAAGTTTGACTGCCGTACGGACAAATATTGACCGAGGAATTTTTATTAAAGTCGCAGGCAGCATTTAGAGCGTGCCCACAACTTGAAGACCGAAATGTTTGCTTAAACTTAAAATGGGTGTACTCCAACTGCGCTAATGAAAATCCCCCCGGGTCCTGCTATAGTCCAACTGCGTAGATCAGAATTTGTTCCCCCTGCTGCCTACAGGGTTTCAATTTAACTTTTCGAAGCCAATTGTAGCCAAGAGGAAAATAAAATATATAAATAGAATTACATATCACAAGTAAAAAGCTATCTGACAAGCATGCTAATTACTTGAATAACAGTAATAAATGCGAGAGCTAACAAAATAAAAGGTATTGGTAAACATACATATTAGCATTACAAACATCTTCCATTTATTATAATAATATCATAAATTAAATAATTATAAAGCATACAAATTATATTTTTAATAAATTACATCAATAATAGTCAAGATGTCTGAACTAGACTGGAAAATTTAATAGAGTTCACTAGCGTGCAAAAAATTATTTCATATCAAAGTGTGTTAAAGTGTGCTAAAAATATTTTTTGTTAATTAAAGTAATCATGTAAATGTTTGCAGAAATTAAATTTAGTTAAATTTAAAAAAAAGCTTAGCATGAAATCTATTATAACAACATTACTATGCATTTGGAACACTGACGTATAAATTGTAAATAAATTTAAATTATTATGCTAAGAAGTTTTTTCTAAAATTTATCTAGAAGAAAGGAATTAGATAAACAATACTGCAAATTAATATAATCAGTCAGGCCTCTCAATAAATAAAAGTTTATTTTTTTAACCAAAAATTAAAATTGGGATGCAAAAGTTTGAGTAATATACTTGGAAATATCTGAACATATAATTAATTAGAAATGTATAATTAAATTAATAACAAGCTAATTAACAGTAACATTAAGCTTAATTTCATTCAATCTAAAACAAGCAATCGATGAGGAGCTCAGCATAACTGAAGTTTTAATGCTATTTTACGTAGATTTGCGTATAAAATAAAAGTTGCACTTGTGAAACAAGTGAATAATGTACTGATAGTCAACAGGAATTAAAATACAGTGGTTAAAAATATAACTACTTGTCAGAAGGTATGCAAAGTTGCCATGGCTAGAGAAATTGAATGGTTATAGAAAACTCATAAAGTTAAGCGCTACAGTGTGAAAAGAAAATTCTGGAATAAACATGTTAAGAAAATTAGATGGAGAAATAATCCTTAATTTATTGATATCCATATAAACTCTATGCTTTTGGAAAAATGTTACATATGTTAAATACGTTAATTACACCGAGGTATCAATCACCGAAACCGAGTTAATTTCTTTCCTTCTTTTTTATTATTAGAGGGATTTGTAAAAAGATATGTTAAGGTAAAGGTGAAAATTTTTGCAATATTTTTTAAGAATAAATTTCAAAAGTATTTTTACTTCATGAACTGAAATTTTTACGCTACATTTTTACACAGTAAATAAGTACAAAAAATAAATAAATAAATAAAATAAAAAGCTGGAGGATCTCTGGGATTAGAAACTCGGATCGAACTACCAATGTTTAGTGACTTGATCGTAAGATCTTTCGAAATTAAGCTGAACAATATATTAAAGAATGTAGAAAATACAGCACATGTAAAAACAAAAGTGGGCTGAATTATAATGTTTGGTGAATGAGTTAAACATATATAAGTATGCCATACAAATAAGTACGTCATTATGAAATATTAGGAATGTAGCATGAAAGCATCAATGAAGAAGGCAATGGAAATATAAAAAACACTGTAATCTAAATGTATAATATTATCAGTATATGCTATTAATTTCAATACTGCTGAAAAAATTATAAATGAATAATATTATAAATCATACGAACTCTTTGCATTATAAATTACAACAGTTAGAAATATTATTAGCGTGATTTAGCGACCATCATTGTTAACAAATAATTTCAAGTAATTAATTTTACAAATAATTCAGCCTGAAACTAGGTTAGAAAATAAGCTACGTGCTGAAGATTAAGCTTTGCCAAGGTGTTAGAAACATCTAGTTGTGATGCAAGAATTTGTAAAAAATTATCATTTAAATATAAATTCGCATTAATACAATACAAAGTAGTATATAAATTCTACATACATGAAAACTTGAGTACAGTGCAACAATATGAGAAAAAGGAATGGATTAAAAGGGAACTGAAAATTCCAGGATATAAATATAAGGGAGTTTGAATTTTTTTTTTTATTATTATGAAAATTCTGCTGATGCTCATAATTATTAATTTATTAATTAAATGTGTATTAGAAATTAAATGTATGCTAAAGTACATCAGGTGGAAAACAGAATAAATATTTAAACGTTTCTAGTATTAAAATATGGAATTTGTAACAAAGTTAAATACCTTTAAAATAACTTCAATGACTAAAAGTGGAAAGCTTAATACGGGAATATATTGCAATAATATTAGAGTGAATTTAGAACGACTTAAGACGTCCAATTTTTAGATTTAATAAAGA